GGGTTGCAGGCTAGGGCACCCATTGGGGGGCATGTGAGAAGCAACCACACAGTGTTTCTCTCCATCTCTTTGTCCTTCCCTTCCATCCTCTAAAAATTAAAACAAACAAACAAACAAATAAATAAAAGAGACTTGTATAATTATAATCTGTTTCATATAAATAGTTCCTGGTGAACTGAGGTTAGTTTTGTAGTAATTATACTAGATCAAACTTCCAGGGATTTCCGTAGTTTTAGTGAAATGTAAAATAATTAGTAAATTTCTAAAAGGGCATTTCAAAGGTTTTCTGTAAAAGTTTATTTTATTGATTATGCTATTATAGTTGTCTCATTTTTCCCCTTTGTTCCCCTCCACCCTGCCCTCCACCAGCATTCCCTACCCCCTTAGTTCATGTCCATGGGTCCTACTTATAAGTTCTTTGGCTTTTCCATTTCCTATACTATTCTTAACCTCCCCCTGTCTATTTTGTACCTACCAATTATACTTTTTATTTCCTGTACCTTTTCCCTCATTACCCCCTTGTCCTCCCCACTGATAACCCTCCATGTGATCTCCATTTTTGTGATTCTGTTCTTGTTCTAGTTGTTTGCTTTGTTTTTTTTGTTTTTGTTTTACATTTAGTTGCTGATAGTTGTGAGTTTGTTGTCATTTTATTGTTCATAGTTTTGGTCATCTTTTTCTTAGATAAGTCCCTTTAACATGTCATATAATAAGGGCTTGGTGGTGATAAACTCCTTTAACTTGACCTTATCTGGGAAGTACTTTATCTGCCCTTCCATTCTAAATGAGACCTTTGCTGCATAGAGTAATCTTGGATGTAGGTCCTTGCATTTCACGACTTTGAATACTTTTTTCCAGCCCCTTCTTGCCTGCAAGGTTTCTTTTGAGAAATCAGCTGATAGTCTTATGGGCACTCCTTTGTAGGCAACTCTCCTTTTCTCTTGCTGCTTTAAAATTCTCTTCTAATCTTTAATCTTGGGTCATGTAATTATAATGTGCCTTGGTGTGTGCTTCCTTGGGTCCAACTTCCTTGGGACTCTGAGTTTCCTGGACTTCCTGGAAGTGTATTTCCTTTGCCAGATTGGGGAACTTGGCTTTTATTATTTTTTCAAGTAAGTTTTCAATTTCTTGTACTTCCTCTTCTGGCACCCCTACGATTCAGATGTTGGAATGTTTAAAGTTGTCTTGGAAGTTCCTGAGCCTCTCCTCATTTTTTAAATTCTTGTTTCTTCATTCTGTTCTGGTTGAATGTTTACTTCTTCCTTCTGGTCCAAATCATTGATTTGAGTCCCGGTTTACTTCCCTTCACTGTTGGTTCCCTGTATATTTTTCTTTATTTCACTTGTCATATTCTTCACTTTTTCCTCTATTTTGTGACCATACTCAACCATTTCTGTGAGCATCCTGATTACCAGAGTTTTGAACTCTGCATCATGATAGGTTGGGTATCTCTTCATCACTTAGTTCTTTTTCTGGAGTTTTGATCTGTTCTTTCATTTAGGTCATATTTCTTTGTCTTGGTGCACCAGTCTGGGTGAATGTTTCCTCTTTAACTCCTTGGTTGTCGGACTTCCATACAGTTTAATTTTCTGGAAGTTCTGGTTGTTTTTTGTTTTTAAATTTGTTGTTGTCCTTCTTTTTGGTTGTGCAAGGAGGCAACATGTATCTACCTACATATGCCTCCATCTTGGCCAGACGTCTCAGAGAACTTGAAGTAAAATAGAACTTATTTCAAACTCCTAAGTAGTGGTTTATCTTGCTTATTCATATTTCTATCCCAGCACCCAAAAGGATGCAGAGTACTTAGTAAACATTCAATCCTTATTGAATCAATGACTGCTTATTGTATGCAAAGCTGGACAGAAGTCATGGGCATATAGAAATCACTTAGTTCTTATCCCTAAGGTGCTTATATTGTAGTAGGTTCATGAAATTAATCAGTAGCTTGTAACTAGCAGTTTTTGAAGAAATAGAATAGAAAATATCAGAGTACGTCACACATAGAAATGATTAAATGTAGTTTCATGAAGATTTTTTTTCAATTACATAGATTTATTTTATGTACAATGGATTAATGACACATAATGTATTTTGTACTGTGGCTCCTCAAAAATATTTAGAAGCCAGTGTTTCAGGCACACATGACTGCCCCAAACAAACCTTGCTTAAAAGTGAGGAGAGCGTTTAGGTCACTGGGTATATAGAAGATTATAAACAGACATGTGACTAAAATGGTAAGATTAGGCTTTGAATGTCATGCTAAAGTAAAAAAATGTGGTGTGTGAGGGGAAATTAAAAGGGTTTTATTGGGCAAGGTAAGTGTTTAAGCATTTTGAGTACTTAGTATATTTACCTGATTCAAAGCCCAAAAAGTATTATAGAATGTGTAGTGAAAAGTTCCACTTCTACCCCATCCTCCAACTTCCACTTAGTTTCCCTTTCCACCAACATTATTAGGTGGGGGGGTATCTTTCCAGAGATGCTTTATGTATGTAAAAACAACTGTGTGTGTTTTTAATTCATTTTCTTTTTTTTACGTAAATGATAGTAGGCCATGAACCATACTACAATGTTCAGTTCTTTGTATTTTTTATACCTATTAGGGAATTTCTCCATATGGTACTTGAAGAGATTGATGGAAGGTTGTTGAGGAAGGGAATTTACTAGATCTGGTCTATATGTTAGGCATTCAAGGCTAAATTAGAGAAGCAAAGTGTTCTCTTCCAAATTGACTTTAAATTTCACTTTAGATTTTCCTGCTTTTCTTGCCTCTAACATCTTAAACCATCTTCCAGCTAAATACAGGTGAGGCTGTATGCATATAAGGCCCCACTTACTTTTTTGTTTCTCACTGATTCCACTTGCTTTCTATCCATTTCCTTCTGGGTCTTCTCAGACTTCACTTCTTTACCTCTGCTCAGGAAGCCTTTTCTAACTTGCCCCTGCCCTAAAAACTGGATTAGGGGCCTCATCTCTATGCTTATCCCCATCACAGCACTTAGCACAGTGTATTGTAGTTGTATATTTTCTGGCCAGTTTTCTCCTTACACTATAAAAGCCTCTTCTATATGCAGGACATGTTGCTACTTATACATATGTTAGGGTTTTTTTTTTAGTATTTACTATATTCACCTGGTTCAAAACCCAAACAGTATTAAAGAACATAAAGAGATTTGAGTACATGGTCTCTTTCTGTCACTAAGGAGCATTGGGAGATGGGATATATATATACATAAAGGCATATAGTATTGGCTTAGTGACAAGTCAGTATGGTATGATTGGTGATAGGGCCAGGTGAGTCACTTTGTTGGTGAGGCATTTAAGGAGAGTTTTATTGGGACAAGTAGCACCTAGATGAGTGGTAAGGGAATATGGTATCTTATGTGGGAAGGTAAATAGATATTTGTGTTAAACTGAACTACTATATGGGAAAAAGAGGAACACATCACAAGGGAATGAAGTACTGGAAGTGGGAAATGTGGAGAAGATGAAGTAGGAAGACAGCTGAATCTAAGCAGAGAAATGAGGAGTGCTGAGAAAATGTGTCGTTCAAAAGGAACATCTAGATACAATGGGAAGACTACTATAGGAGGAAGGGGGGAGTCCACAGAGGACTCTCCCCAATATGGATATAAAGGAACATGAATAAATAAGACATCCTTCAGGCATTTTTGGCCTAATCCAAGGCCCCATGGAAAGTAGCTAGTGGAGACACAGCCTCCTTATTCCTCCTTAGCTGCAGGATCTGGTGTTTCCTGGTGATGTGTAGTAACTCCTTTCCCCCAATGGCGTAAGTGGTTTTCTTTAAGCTTTCTTTTCATTTGCTAATTCATTTATTGGACCTGCATGCTGGCAATATGACTTGCAACTGCATATTTATAAAATTCCACTCCAACCAACAGAACTTGGATGCTCCCTTAGAGTCGATTTTAATGGAATTTTTGCCTTCTGTTGTGGTAAGAAAGGAATCCTGGTGTTATACTTAAGTCATTATTGGAATTGTAGATTATATTAGAGCTCATCTAAAGAGTTTTACCATAGCTATTGTTTTAAACTTGAAAGTCTTTTGATATACATAACAAGAAACTCACTGACATCTGAACTTTGTCCTTTTAGGATCTAAGTATAAAAAGACCAATTTAATTATTAGAATGAAGTAAAAATATAGCCATTTCTTTTGTAATTAATGTTTATTCAGTTGCTCAAATTTTATTTTTTTAAATATTTTATTTATTTTTTTAGAGAGAAGGGAAGAGAGAGAGAAAGATGGAGAGAAATATCAATGTGTGGTTGCCTTTCATGTGCCCCTCCGCTGGGGACCCAGCCCACAACCCAGGCATGTGCCCTGACTGGGAATCGAACCAGAACCTGGGAATCGGTTCTCTGTGAACCTTTGGTTCACAGGCCGGTGCTCAATCCACTGAGTCACACCAGTCAGGGCCCAGTTGCTCAAATTTTAAAACCTATATTTATTGAAATATTTTTAAATTAAAATGTTGGAGAAAAATTTTTAGTATACTTACCATAATACTGCTAGCAGTAATTTCTGCATTGTTCTATTCAGGCAAACCAAAGTATAAATAAATGTTTATTAAATGGTGGTCAGACTGCCCCAACCCTTCTAATAAACAATTGGTGAAATTATTTTTTAAGCTCAAAATGGTTCTGAAAACGATGGATATTTTAAAGACCAAGAGAGCATTTATATGTAGCAATTGTTTTAAGTCAAATGTCTTCATGGGGGGAACTTGGATTGATTCCCCCTATTTTTAAGCTCTACAGCCATAATCAATATATTAATTTGTGTTTTTAGGTACAATGCATTGGTTATGAAAAATTCACCACCACATTGATATTGTTGTTTTACTTTTTTTTAATGGACGCACAACCCTTTCTAATAAGCTTATGTGGAGAAATATCAAAATAATAAGAACTTTATGGAAATAATTGAGAACCTTCCCCCATTCTTTCCTTAATCAAGTATGTGTTTAATCTTACAGGCTGTAGAAAATCTCTGTTCTTACAAGATTTCTGCAAACTTATACAAACAGCTGAGACAGATTTGTGAAGATCACATCAAAGCACAAATTCATCAGTTCAGAGAATATCCTTTTAAAAACAAAACATCTTGTATTTTATCTTCATCTCTCTTCCTATCCCTCACTATTTAGTCCAGCTTGAAATGGAATACCTGTGTTTTTAGATTTGTTATTTTGCTTCTAGAGAAAGAAGAAACAAGTTTTTGATTTTTCAGCTTTAATTGGGGCCTAAATCTACTTTGTGGTATTAGTGTAAATATACTGTCCTTACATCTTTACCCTTTTTGCCCTAATAAATTTCCATTTGAGGAAAGATAATCTTCTAAGGAAATAATAAACTGAAGACACAATTATGTCTACGACTTGTTTTTAAAGGTATTTTTAGTGAGATCTAATTTCTTTATAATTTAAGAAATGGCATTTGTCCTATAATTAAGTGCTATCTAGTTTCATTTATTAGGTAGGGTATTCCATATTTAAGACAAATGTGTTCTTACATTGCATACCTATATTACTTGTACTAAGCACTTTTAAATATCCTTGACATACATCCCATGGATTCATTGGATAGTGTTCTTTTTCTAAAGAAGATTGATAGATGCTGGCAGAACCACTGTAGACAAATGGTAAGCTGAAAAAAGCTAAATATTGTAGTTAAATAAATTTCTTTAAATACAGGAATGTTAGTTTTAAAGGCTTTGCCATAGGGGCCTGCCTCAACATCTGCTCTTGTTCTGAGTTGGAAACTAATTTTGATTTAGTTTTCTGTTTCAAAATTATAAGTTACAAGTAAACAAGCATTTTAGAATGAGTTGCACCTCAGGATCATTTTTATTTTTGTCACACTTAACCAAAAAATATTTATCTCATAAAAACATTACTTGCTGTCAGTCTTGATGGATATCCTATGCAAAAGTAGATTACCTGTGAATATGCCTAATGGTCTTGTATTTTAACTTACATCACTTTTTACTTTTTCCCCAATCTGGTATTATTTTATATCTTATGTTCTGCAAATTCAAAATCTTAAAACCCATTCCCCCTCCCCAAACCCCATGAGTATAATTTAAGGCAGCTTTACCCTGCATACTGTTGCTGAGGAAGCAGCACATGCATGTCCCCTTGATTACCTGTTTGTTTGTTTTTTTTATTTTCAGTCACTTCTCAAGTTGCAAAGAAGTCATAGGGCCATTTTAAGTTTCCCTTTTCTGGAAACTACAACAAGGATTAAGACAATAGTGTAGTTTAATAAAAATGGTGTGGGCATATTCTCAGATAGATCTGTTTATCTGTATGTTTGATCCTAAATCGTCTAGAATATATTCAAGCAAATCCTGAAATTTTATTCTTATTTTATTGAGAGCAAATATTTCAGCTTCACAAAACATAAAAACTGCTTTATTTCTTTTTTTTATATTGGCAGATCATGATCAGGAGCATTTTTTTGTTTCTGGATAGAACTTATGTTCTTCAGAATTCAATGCTACCCTCCATTTGGTAAGGATGCTAGAAAAAAATATGAAAAGATTTGTTACAAATCATAGTTGAATCTTAATTACACTAATTGAAGAGAGTAAGTGATACTGTGAATATTCTCCTAAAAACTCACATTTGGCTTCTAAACTTGTATTTTTACCAGTTTTACCTTCTTAATTATGTTTTACCTATGCTAATATTGGAAACAGCTAACATTCCCTGAGCCCATAATACTTTCTGAAGAAGTATTTTTTTAAGGGAATTAAAGGTTGCTCTGAATTCTTTATTAGTGTGTATTATTTGTTGCTGATCAAGTGTTTGGTCATTATCTTTGAACATTATTATTATTATGAAAATTCCATGTATAAATGAAAATAGAATGGTATTGTGTAATGAGCTTTTCCCCAGTCATGCACCTAGCATCTGCCTACAGTAATTCTCAGAGTTTGCTGATTTTTGAGTCCTAAAGCCAGATAACAAGTGACCAATTAAGCCTTCATTATAATTTTGAACTAATTTTGTCTCTTAATTTGACCAAGGAAGAAATTTATCAAAGAAGATCTCAAAACTTAGTTATGGAAAAAAGACAGGAGTTTAGCTTTAGTTCTCATTAAAGGCAAAACTAGTTTCTCATATATTTTAGTTTAATAGTGTTATTTAAAATTAAATGTGTGGATTTTATCCATTTAGAATTGCTGCTTCAAAGCCTGAAGCCCTGATTAACATGTGATGAGAAGTTAAGTACAACTCTCCAGAAGTGGTATCATTGTTAATTTAGATATATATATATATATATATATTTTTTTTTTTTAATTTTAGGGACATGGGACTGGAGTTATTTAGGGCCCACATTATAAGTGATCAGAAAGTCCAAAATAAGACCATTGATGGCATTCTTCTGTTGATTGAGAGGGAAAGGAATGGTGAAGCAATTGATAGAAGTTTACTCCGAAGCCTCTTAAGCATGCTCTCTGATTTGCAAGTAAGTTAACTAGTCCACTTACTATAGCGCTGATTGCTGTCCCTATTTTGATGTGTAAAAACCAAATCCATGGTGCTCTTCACATAGAGGACATTCAATAAATACTTAATGAATAAATGAACTCCTTTATCTTGTTTTCCCCTCCCAGATTTATCAGGATTCTTTTGAACAACGATTTTTGGAAGAAACTAACCGGCTTTATGCAGCCGAAGGCCAAAAATTAATGCAGGAAAGAGAGGTATTTAAAAATCATGATTAATAAATCCACTGTGCCTCACAATTAGATCATACTTATAGAACGTAAGCTCCCCTTTTCATTTATCTTCCCAACATTGTGATGCTTTTCTCTCACTTAGGTGCTCCTTTCTTTTCTCTCTTCTTAAAGGCCAAAATTCTGGATCATAAACTCTACCTATAATTTTACATATGAGTCAACCCTGTCGCATTTGACAGGGCTGCTCCCAGGATCTTTTGGACTTGACATTTTCTGAATGATTTATGGGGAGGAAAACAATAATATAAAAAAACTATCTTTGTAGGTTCCTGAATATCTTCATCATGTTAACAAACGTCTAGAAGAAGAAGCAGACAGACTTATTACTTACTTAGATCAGACCACCCAGTAAGTATGACATGCTCTGCCTGATAGCCTTAACCTGTGTTGTTGTTGACTCACTTAAGGCACTTTAGGCATCCCTAAACATGTTAGTAACTAATTTCAGGTGTGATGTTTTTAACAGTTGTTTTCATGATGCAAACTTCAAATTGTTATCTTCCTTAGTTAATTAGATTTGATTAAGGATATGATTACTGGTTGTGTGTGTGTGCTTAGTATTAAAACAGATGTTATCTTTGAAATCTTCAGGCCGATTAAAATTTAGTGGGTATTCATAGGACAAACTGTTTCTGTGCTTCCTTAAATATTACCAAGCAAGGAGTTCCTGTAAACAGCATAGATAATTTCTGTACCTTTCAAATAAAAGCAGAGAAACTTGGAAAAACCCAGCCACAGCAAGACCTTGGAAATAGTTATTTCATAATGTAAATCAGGTTTTGAAATATGCAGTCTATTCCTTCTTTTAGACATAGAGTAACTCTGAGTACTGATAAATTTATACATAGGATAGAAATATTACAATGGACATAAAATGAGTTATTTGATTTTTCTTGCCCAGAAGAGGCTTTAAATTTTTAGCAAAGTCGAAACTCAATAATTCTAAACTTTTTTTCCTTGTAGGAAGTCATTAATTGCTACTGTAGAAAAACAACTTCTAGGTGAACACTTAACAGCAATTCTTCAGAAAGGTAATTGGCAATTTATAAATCAGATTACTTTTAACATGGTAGCAACAAACAGAAACAAATTTAAAGATTGCCCTTTTAAAAGCTTGATAGCATATGGTGGCTGCATTTCTGAATATGGACACAACCCCTTTTTCCTATTCATCACAGTAAACTTTCAAGAGGTGCCTCTTTCCTTAACTTAAAGGTACAGGAACTGAGATGAAAGGGGTCTACCAATACTGGTAAAAAAAATAGTGGGAATTTGGCAATTCTTGACTTAATTTGTAACATACAGTAAGGAAAGGCATTCCTTTTTGCATGAAAGTGTTTTTGTTCATAGCATATAAAACCAAGCACTTCTACCAAGCACTGCTAAGTTATCTTAGAGTATTATACTCTGCATTTGCTTTGGCAGTGCCACAGATAGGCAAAAGTCTTACTTTTCTCTCCGACCATCTTTTTTTTTTTTTTTGTATGAAGTATATATTTTTGAACTTTCATGCAGTTACACTTATTTCATTCTGAAAATCAAATACATTAGAACCTCATTTAAACTTGGCCTATTAATGTATGGTTTTGTTACACTACAGGTCATATACAATACTCTGAAATACAGCTGTATACTAATGCCAGATGTAATACATATACTGCACATATGATGTATTTTTAATGTGCATTTATGTAAACCAGTTTTTATAAATTGGTTTATACGTCTGATCTACTATGCTGAATGCCATAAGCCATTACACAATTACTTTTATTTTTATTTAGGCTAACGTTTCATTTGGAAAGGAGATCGTCTATTTGGATTTAAATCAGAGCAAATCTCTATATTAAAGTTTACAGACTAGTCATAGCTCAGAACAGTATTGCAATAATAGTTTAACTTAATTTTCATTAAAATATCTGATATTTCCCTAACTGGTATGGATCAGTTGATTGGGCTTTGTTCCTCAAAGTGAAAGGTTGTCAGTTCGATTCCCAGTCAGGGCACATGCCTGGGTTGTAGGTTTGGTCCCTGGTTGGGGCACATATGAGAGGCAACCATTCGATGTTTCTGTCTTGTATCAGTGTTTCTCTCCCTCATCCTCCCTCCCTCCCCTTCTCTCTAAAAATAAATAAATAAAACCTTTTTAAGAAGATAATACAATATTAAAATAAAATATCTGATGTTTTTGTTTGCATTTTTCAAAATGTTTCAAATTTCAGGTTTAAATAACCTTCTTGATGAAAACCGAATTCAAGATTTATCTCTTCTGTATCAGCTCTTCAGTAGAGTTCGAGGTGGAGTTCAGGTTCTCTTGCAACAGTGGATAGAGTATATTAAGGTATTAACAATTACTCTGTGATCTTTTTTTCTCTGCCATGGCTTCTAATCTATACACCTAGAGTGAATATCAACAAGCATTTCTTATTTGTTAGAGCCAATTTTTTTTTTAAGTAATGGGAGTTTTGAGAGCAGTCAGCATGAGAATGATAGCTGTGTGGCAGATCAGCAATAAAACATTTACCTTCTTGATATCTGCCATGATTTCTTAGCTCCAATGATTATAGCAGTGAATATGAAAAGAGGGCTTTTTAGGACCCTAAATTTATTTCCTTTCTAAATCTTACTCTGAAGCCAGATTGTCATTTAAAAAAAAAAACAACAACTTAAAGGTGACTTCTTTAAAAGTAGGGAAAAGAGCCTGGAGACTTAATAATCATGCCCAATTATGATACTGTATACCCAATGGTCATCCCCTATTTCATGATACAAACGAATGATGTCAGTCTGGATGTTTTATAACTTCATTTTTTTTATTTTCCTCACTTCAAAAACAGCTTTATGTCCTAGCTGGTGTGTGGCTCAGTGGGTTGAACACTGGCCTGCAAAATGAAAGGTTGCCAGTTCGATTCCCAGTCAGGGCACTTGCCTGGGTTGCAGGCCAGGTCCCTGGTTGTGAGCCTGCAAGAAGCAACAAATTGATGTTTCTCTTCCTTCCTTTCTCCCTCCTTCACCTCTCTCTGAAAAATAAAATCTTTTTAAAAAAGCAGCTTTGTTTATACCTACTTAAAATATGATTTTGGGATTGTTTTCACTGTGGATAATTCAGTTCTAGTAAAAAGTGGCAATTTTTGTTGTTTAGGCATTTGGCAGCACTATTGTAATTAATCCTGAAAAAGATAAAACCATGGTTCAGGAATTGCTGGATTTTAAAGATAAGGTTGACCATATAATAGATATCTGTTTTCTGAAGAATGAAAAATTTATCAACGCCATGAAAGAAGCATTTGAAACATTCATTAACAAGAGACCAAACAAACCTGCTGAACTTATAGGTATTTTTCCAGTTATTTAATGTTCTTCTTTTATTCATAAAACTTCAGGTTGTAGTGTATTAACAGCATTTATTTGTTGTTGTTTAGCTGGTAGTTTCTAAGAACCTGGATGTAAGGAGTTAAGTCCTTGAAGTAAAAGAATGGCTCAGAGACAACCTGTTAGACATAATGTTCTTTCATTATAAGACAGTACATTGGGCCCTATTTGCTTTTATTTATAATATGCTTAAGATCTGTTTCATAAGCCCACAGCAATTTAGAGGTGAAGCTGTTTTTAGAGGCCCACAGTTAGGGGTACAAGAAAGGAGAGCAGAAACTATAGTTGCCAGTGAGAAAAGGAAAATGTCCAAGACAAAAACAAACCTCATAATCGGGGCCCATTTGGTATAAGGGTGTGGTATACTGTAGTGCTTCTCAGGTTTTCTTCCCACCCCGGTACCACTTAATGTCAGAAGAGGAGGTACTCTGAGAAAGTCTGGGGTCCTCTGCAAAAAAGATGAAATTTCATTGGTCTACTACTTTTACTTAGAATTTTTTGCAAATTTTGCCTCCAACTCTGTAATGTATCTGGTTTGTTTTAATAAAAACATAGTGTTTAAATTGCCTACCATCATTGTAAAATAGACACTCCTAGTGGAAAGTACAGTAGATCTGGAGCCAGAACACTTGGGTTTGAATTAAGGCTGTGGTATTTATGAACTCTGACATTGTTTTTAAAAATACACGTATACCTCTGAAGCATTGAAAAACTCTATATCATATTCCTGTAATACCCAGTACCTTATGGATACCCATGATCACTAAACAACAAACTTTCCCCCCATTTTAGCTAAATATGTAGATTCAAAACTTCGTGCTGGCAACAAGGAAGCTACGGATGAAGAACTTGAAAAAATGTTGGATAAAATTATGATCATATTTAGATTTATCTATGGTAAGTTTATTTTTGTTTTAAAGCAAAGCACTCAACAGAGAAACAAGTATAATCAGCCTGGAGGGAGTATTATTTCGGAATTAATGTAAAATTCTGTTGGGGATATTTAAAATTCTATGAAGTTCCTTGCATTTAATTCATTGGCATACTTGAGGAATGTTATTTAATTTCCCTGTGTTTTGAGTTTTCCATTATTAGGAGCCTTGATTTTTGGGACTTGTTTTAATTTAGAGTATTGATGCTGAAGCTTACTAATTGACTAAAGCTTTTCTAAAAAAAAGTCAATACAGTCTTAATTCTTTGTAGGAAAGAGCTTTTGAAATGTCTAATACAAATGTCTACCTCTAATGTTTCTTGCATTTAACGAACTTGGATAAAATGTATAAATTTAAATAACTTGGAGTAATGGTGTGATTTATTAAATACTTCAAAGCAATTTGGTCAGAACTTTTTATTGAAATATGAGAGTTGTATTTTATTATTTAACATAGGCAAGGATGTTTTTGAGGCCTTCTATAAGAAAGATTTAGCCAAACGTCTGTTAGTTGGGAAGAGTGCATCTGTAGATGCTGAAAAATCAATGCTGTCCAAACTTAAACATGGTATGTTTGTCATTTTATCTGTTCATTTTTTCTTTGATTTCTAGGGGGAAATGTTAGCATAATTTTTACTGTTTTGTCATTTATTCTGTGTTCATATGATGAAAATGTAAATTTAGTAAGCTCATGAGTTTCCCAATCTGTTGTTGGAAACATACAGAGAGCTGTTGCAGTTTTTTAAAAATAAAACATTGTTCTTGTTTTTATTACTTGTATAAAAATTTCCCATTTATTTTATGCCTAAATAGGAGATAGAGTCACTACAGGATTAAAGAGTTTAATTCTCAGTTAGTGGGGCATGCCCTTTGGGTAGGGATTTTTTATTCTTATGAATAGTTATAGATCCTGTTTCATGCTAAAGCGAGTTTTATATTCACATTTTCAATTTTAAATTCTTTGCTTTTAACAACTTTGAAATATTACAAATATATAAACATTTTAATAGAATGTGGAGCTGCTTTCACCAGCAAACTTGAAGGAATGTTTAAAGACATGGAACTTTCTAAAGACATCATGATTCAGTTCAAACAGGTAAAAGTGAGTTAAAATCTTACTAAATTCCTTGAACTTAAATATATTTAGTTATTTATTTGCTGTGGTTTGTACTGAAAAGGATAAATAGAAACATGTTTCGTTGTAAATATTTCATAGCAACTTAAACAATATTCATAGTAGAGAAAAAAATCACCAATGAAATATATGTGACCTACTTCAGTATTCTCAGTGTACACTCAAGATAACACCAAAATAGTAATAAAATGTATTGAGCTGAAGTCAGGACTAGAAAAGCTGCAGCTGGATAGTGAGAACAAGACTTTCTCCAGCATCTAATAATCACTGTTGATGATTCTCATGTTCAAAGCTTGCAATGGAGAGGGAGAAGTGACAGAGTGGTTGTGTAAGGCCTTTGGGGACATTGGGAATGAAAAACTAGAGCCATAGTTTCACAGATGTTGTTAGAAGTGGTTTTGAAATACGTAAGAACATAGGTATAGTGACAGCAAATTAGATTTTCCTCTCTTGGAGTTTTAATAATGATGTCTTTACCACTAACTATATCACTACAGTGGAAAGTGAGAGTTGAAGACTCAAAAGAAAGATCAGGGTCAGTAGGATCGTGCGTCCTACAGTAGTTACAGAATAGGGTTTATCTGCTTTGCCCTTTCCCCTTTTTCTTCCTTCCCCACTTCAGGTCATCCCCTGCAAACAGGCAGTGGAGCAAGTGAGAAACCGGAGACTTGGGCTGGCTGGTGGGGTGAGGAATGGGGGTTGCTGCAAGGTGTTCCAAGCCACTCAGGGGTCTCCGAAGGTGGGGACTGCTGGTGGTATGGGGAAAACAATGGAAAGACAGTCTATAACTTCCCAGCTGTATGTGCGAAACTACTTTAGTTGATAATGCCTCTAATGAGGTCATATGATCCTTGTGTGCTGTTGTAACAAAATGTTAACCAATGCACTTTTGTAGTGCATTTAACATAGGCTTCATTTATAATCCTTTAATAGTTGTCTTTTATTTTAGAGATGATCAGTATTTGCATGGAATTTTAATGGGGAACTTATGGAATGGGTTGTTATCATGACATGACATGTATGAACTTTTCATTTTAAGATCTCAGTATGTGTGTTTGATCTTAATTGTAGTATATGCAGAACCAGAATGTACCTGGGAATATTGAATTAACTGTGAATATCCTGACAATGGGTTATTGGCCAACATATGTGCCTATGGAAGTGCATTTACCACCAGAGGTAAGAGTTGCTACTTAGGACTTAAGTTTTAAGCATAGAAATACATAACACTTCTATTTTGCTTGTTATTGAAAAATAGATACTTTTTTAAAACTTTGTGTCAGTAAGCACACCAAGTACCAATTGTTTTAATATTTTGCTCTATTTATATTACTTTTATATCAGTGTTCCCCAACCTTTTTGGCACCAGGGACCCATTTCGTGGAAGACGATTTTTTCATGGATGGGATGGGGGATGATTTCAGGATGATTCAAGTGCATTACATTTATTGTGCATTTTACTTTTATTATTATCACATTGTAATATATAATGAAATAATTATACAACTCACCATAATGCAGAATCAGTGGGAGCCCTGAGCTTGCTTTCCTGCAACTAAATGGTCCTATCTGGGGGTGATGGGAGACAGTGACACCCTATGTGTGTTGCTTATGTCCAGTCTACTCTCTAATCTCGTTTTGGTTGCTGTCACTGCAGAAAACCCTGCTTCACAAAGATAGGAAGTTAGAAATGGAAGCAGGCTTTTCAGTGCTTTTGTGTCAGTCTCAGGATATTCCTCGTTGACTTTAATCCAGAACAAATGGAGATGAAGCTTCACTCGCTCACCCGCTGCTCACCTCCTGCTGTGCTGCCTGGTTCCTAACTGGCCACAAATCTGTACCAGTCCATTGCCCAGGGGACCCTGTCTTACATGAATATTAGAGCATAGCTAAAGGTGCCAAGTTTTGGGGTTCAGGGCCAATTTCCTTGAGTCTTTTTTCAGTTCCCCAGATTGCACTCACCACTCTTTCCAGCTCTCAAAAAATCTTACCCATATGTCACCTGGAGGTTCGATTGCTGAGTGACAGGTGCTTGAGTAAATCCATCCTAACTCCTTGGAGAAATGTCTGAGTCAGGGCTGTAGCTTAGAAAAGGGGTTAAGGCAACAGAGATTGGTACTGAGAATCCTTCATGGAGGTAATCATGGACATGCAGGGAGTAGACCTCCCTCATTACGAAGGAAAATATAGAAACAGGAAGAAAAAGGCTGAGACAGAACTCTGGGAAGGGCTTACATTTGGCAAGTGGTCAGAAAAGGAATCTTTGAAGGAAACCAGTGAAGAAGCAATAGTGAGATAAAGGAACCAGCATGGTATAGAGAGGCACAAAAGGCATTAGAGGTGAATGTTTCAAAAGAGGTGATGATTAAATGTTGCATAGAAAGCAAGAGTGTGAAGACTGATCAATGCCATTAGATTTGGTAGTTGGGGGATCATTACCTTACATCAGTCAGCAGTGGACCTACTGGAGTATCCAGTAGGATAGTCTTTAAAACATCCAGACATTATTATGTGTGAGGTAAATCTAAAGAGTGGCGAATGTATGATATTGGAAACAGCTTAAATAAACTTTATTTTATTTTCTGTAGATGGTAAAACTTCAGGAGATTTTCAAGACATTTTACCTAGGCAAACATAGTGGCAGGAAACTTCAGTGGCAGTCAACCCTAGGACACTGTGTGCTAAAGGCTGAATTTAAAGAGGTAAGTGAATGTTCCCCAAACTCGGTTTTTACCCTCACCTTGGATGTTGAGGTCATCCCTCTTAATTTGTTTATAAATTTATCCTTAAAATCTGCATGACAGTGATAGCTTATCACAGCTTTGTGAGTATGGTAAGAGTATGGTTTTTTCCACACTTGATTTCACCCTGCTGCAAAACCAAAAGCAATGACCCTTTCTTCTACTCTTCCCACCTGTGTATGCAAAATTCACTGCCCCTTCTTGACAAGAAACTTCTTTTCTTGTTGTTGGGAGCTAGAGAATAGATTTCCTGCAGTTTTTCATGATTTACCTGAATCAAAAAAGTAAAAAATACATTTGAAAAAGTGATTTCTTGCTGCTCATGATAAATATCTGTAATGACACACACGTAGGCTAAGTTATTAATTTTCATTACTTTATTGTTCAGTTTTAATTATAAGACTTTAAAAAAGGACCTGTAAAAAGGTCACCCAATCCTTCCTCCTGTTTTAGGTAGGACGATATGTAAGCCCTGCACTGAACATAATGGCTTTTCTGGATACTGTTAATCCATGTTTCTAAGTCCACTAATTGAAAAAAGTGCTTTCCTGTAAGAGATTAGTTATTTGATTAATTTTTAATGTGTTTTTTTAAATGATGGCTAAACACTGCTGTTTCTCCAACAGGGTAAAAAAGAACTCCAGGTCTCTCTTTTTCAAACACTGGTGCTGCTAATGTTTAATGAAGGAGAGGAGTTCAGTTTAGAAGAGATCAAGCAGGCTACCGGAATAGGTTTGTGTTGACTCAGCCGATTAGAAAGCATTATTCAGTGTCTACCTATGTGCACTCCACAAGGTTCAGAGCTCGGGCAGGTGGTGGACGCAAAGGAATAATCCCTTTCCTCAGCACTCAGAATATGACCACTGGGAAAGGGGGAAATGACACTTGAACTAATTCACAACTATTTAGTTCCAATCCGGTACAGACTAGGAGTGTGTTAAGAATTTGGTGAAGCAAGGGATTGCTATGGATAGGTACAATTGGGAAAGCTTTCATAAATGGGGTGGAACTTGAGCTGGGCCTTAAAGTTTTAGTTAGGGATGAAAGCATACGCTGCAAGGGGAAATATTGTGAGAAAAAGCTTGGAGGTAGGTATGAGCACAGTATGGGTAGGAATCATGAAGTGTTTAACTGCAGCACAGAGTAGGGAGATAAAAATGTAGGTGAAATGGGTGGAGCATGATCATGGAGAACCCCACAAATCTAGCAAATGAAACCTACATTGTACTGTTGCAAGTGTTTGTCATAATGGAAGTGAATTATATGGACAACCTATCTGGAATTAGTAGACAATAGGGCAGCTTGAGGATGAAGAAGTTCCAGTCCAGAAACTAGTGGGGTAATTCGGGCATAAAGTGGTAAGGGGCTTGGACTAGGATGAGGCCAGTGAGAATGGAGAAGAGGCATCTCTAAGGAAGCAGCAATTTACTAGATAACTGGAGAATAAAGGAGAAGGAAGAGTCAAAGGTGATTCCAGGATTTCTTTTCCAAGTAGGTTGGTAGCTTCACAGCTAATAGTTGGAAAGAGGACCCAGTTTTATGGGGAAGATGAATAAAATTTTGAACATACTGGAGTTGATGATAGTAAAAACAGCCAGGTGGAGATATCCTTTAAATGTGGGACTGGAAAGAAGTGAGATGTCATTTTTGAAGATTTGATAGTTACCCTCATGGAATGATAATTGAAGTTTTTAGAGGATGACCAGGAAAAAAGCCATTGGGTAGAACAGAGAGGGAGTCATCAGTGACCTTGGGATAAAAAGTAAACAATTTTAATTGTGGGATGGGGTAGAAGCTAGGTTGAGGTTGAATGTAGGTGTTCTTGTTGATAAGCTATTAATAAATGACTGAGCCATTATTTCTTCTTCAGAGGATGGCGAGTTAAGGAGAACACTGCAGTCTTTGGCCTGTGGCAAAGCTAGAGTTCTGGCAAAAAATCCAAAGGGCAAAGATATCGAAGATGGTGACAAGTTCATTTGTAATGATGATTTCAAACACAAACTCTTCAGGATAAAGATCAATCAAATTCAGATGAAAGAAACGGTATTTCTTTTGCATTCTCCTTTTCCTAATACACTGGAATTAAATATGTTCATAATAACAATTTATAAAGAAATTTTTTAACACCGCCACTAACATTAACATTTTCTATGCCTATATCTAGCCCAGTGTATTTGAGTACTTGATTTTGTGATTTTTTTATGGAGAGATGCATACAGTTGGACTTGATACTCAATATAGTTTTCTATGCTGCTTTTTTTTTTGTTTAACATAAAACCTTTAGACTTTTCCCATGACATTAAATATCTTTATAAGATGGCAGTTGGCCATACAATATTCTTTTACATGGCTATTATAATTTATTCAACCAATGTACATTATTGGGCAATTAAATTCATAACTTTTTAGTATTGGAAATAAAGCTGTAATAAACCTCTTTGTACCTAAAATCTTAATCTCTCTGAGACTTCCCTTATGATAAATTCATGGAAATAGATATTTTGGGTCAAAGAGTATGAACATTTTCAGTCTTAATACATTATGTTATACTGTATTCCAGAAAGGCTGCACTCTGTCTAGCACAGGGGTGTCAAACTCATTTTCACCAGGGGCCACATCAGCCTCACAGCTGCCTTCAAAGGGCTGAATGTAATTTTAGGATTGTATAAATGTAACTACTCCTTTTAACAGTTAAGTAAGAGCTTAGCACTGCTGCCGGGTAGAAACAAGGTGCCGGGAGGGATAAAACAAGGTGGAGGCCGGAATCGGCCAGTGGGCCTTCTGTTTGCCACCTGTGGTCTAGCAGCATGATGGCCTGTCTTAAAGTGCCCTCACAGCAGCACTCAAGATTGTATTTTCTTTTTTAAATCTTTGCCAACTTGCTCGATGAAAAATATGAGTGATTTAGTATTTCTTTGATTAACAGTGAAAATTTTGGTGTTTGCCTTTTGAATTTGTAACAGACATTTATTAAGGAAACCAACAACTACAGCATTTCTTGAAACCAGATGGTTTCAGTTCCAGTAGGTTTTTAATGCAAGGCTTGAGAAAAGGTTTTAATGTGGGACAGAGGTCAGTATCTCAAACAAGTTCCTGTCTTGTTCACATTCACATCAGAGGTACCATATTCCCTTAGAAGATTACTGTGTGCTTTTAAAACAGTTCTGCTGTATCAGAATGAAGCTGCCGGCAAAAAGCCCAAACTATTCTTTTGATTTAGGTGCTAAAGATCAACGTTCTTGCTTTAGCAATAAAATTGGTAAACTGACTCCTAAACTCCTAAATTGGTTAGTCTCGAATGAATGTAAGCACTAACTGTATATTTCTGATTTATATATTACTCAAAATTATTTTTGTAAAAAGTTGACTCCATGAACTTAGCTAGTTGGTGCCATACTTTGAGTCAAAGGTCAGAGTCAATCATTCTAACAGAGAAGCTAATATCATACAGAAATTTAGTCAACCACCCCTGTGACACTTTTAGAGGAATTCAAGGGCAGAGTAAAAGAAAATGATAAATTTATAATCAACGGGTCTCTACTTCTAGAAAAGCAACTCAAAGATGGTATTTTTCTGTTACTTAATAGTGTCATTACTTCATAGGTACAGGGCAATGTAATTAGGACAGAAAGGAGTATGTTTGTTGGTTTTTTCCTGTGATTTTCTGTATTTATAATGTTTCTTTAGATAATCCAGCATAGTTAACACATTAGCAATATGTCATGTTCCTAAACTGTACAATTCGTATACAGATTAATCAAGTTTTGCTTCAGATACAATTCCTAAATTTAAAAGTTTCTTTTGTTAATAAAACTTTGTTAGGTTGAGGAACAAGCAAGCACTACAGAAAGAGTATTTCAGGACAGACAGTATCAAATTGATGCTGCAATTGTTCGAATTATGAAGATGAGGAAGACACTTAGCCACAATCTCCTGGTTTCAGAAGTGTACAACCAGTTGAAATTTCCAGTAAAGGTAGGTACTTCTGTGTTTTCATATTGACCTTGTTATATATAAAAGATAATACAATAGATTTTCAAATATGAACCTTTTTCAAAAGATTCCATTTATTTATCTTTAGACAGAGGGAAAGAGGGAGAGAAAGAAAGGGAGAGAAATATCAATGTGTGGTTGTCTCTCGCGTGCCCCCCACTGGGGACCCTGCCTGCAATGTGCCTTGACCAAGAATCGAACCCGTAACCTTTCTGTTTGTGGGACGACACCGAACCCACTGAGCCACACCAGCCAGGGCTCAAACATGAATCTTCTAAACACAGATTAAAAGTCTTAAGATCAGGTGGAGGGACAAAAGTTTTAAAGTAATTCTATTTTATTTGAGAGAGAAGGAAAGGCAGGGAGAAAGAGGGAGAGAAACATCAATTAGTTGCCTTCTGCAAGTGCCCCGACTAGGGATAGGGCATGGAGCTTGCAACCCCCAACCCAGGCATATACCCTGATGGGGAATCAAACTAGTGACCTTTTGGTTTTCAGGATGAGGCCCAACTGACTGAGCCATGCTGGCCAGGGCTAGAGGGTCAAAACTTTTTAATTTTTCATGTTTATATACATAATTCCAAAAACCCATTGTTGGCATATGTGGACAGCTGTGACCAAAGAGGGAAAACAATTTATGAAAGGTCTTATACCTAAAAGTTTAGCTGCTATATGAGTCTTTGAATTTTTCAGATTCATTCACTATATTTCTTTTGAGCTATTTTTTAAAATATTTTATTTACTTATTTTTTAGAGAGGGGAAGGGAAGGAGAAAGACAGAGAAACATCAGTGTGTGGTTGCCTCTCATGTGGCCCCCACTGGGGACCTGGCCTGCAACCCAGGCATGTGCCCTGACTAGGAATTGAACTTGTGATGCTTTCGCTCGCAGCCCATGCTCAATCCACTGAGCTACGCCAGCCAGGGCTATTTTGTTGTTTTTTTTTTTTTATTTTTTTCTCCTTGAAATACATTATTACAGCATAGGGAATATAATCAGTTACATTGTAATAACTGTATATGGCTCAGGTGGGTATTAGAATTATTAGGGATATCACTTTGTAAATTATACAATTGTCTAACCACTGTGTTTTACACCCGAAACTAATATAAAATAATACTGAATATCAACTGTAATTGAAATATACATACACTTATGTACACACACATATATGCACATGGCTTGGTATTTGACAGATCTGTTATTTTATTTTTTGAAAAGATTTGATTTATTTTTAGAGAGAGGGGAAGGGAGGGAGAAAGAGAGGGAAACATCAATGTGTAGTTGCCTCTCACACACCCCCCATTGGGGACCTGGCCTGCAACCCAGGCATGTGCCCTGACTGGGAATCGAACCAGCAATCCCTTGTTTTGCAGGCTGACACTCAGTCCACTGAGCCACACCAGCCAGGGCAGATCTGTTATTTTTAATTAAACCTTTTGTTTAGGTAGCTTATGAGTGGCCATTAGAAACTCTATACAGATAACTAGCCATCATTAATCATTTTTTTAAAGTTTAGCAATAGTTCTGGCAAACCAAAATTGGTTATTAAATGGGTACTCCAGTGTTAATTCCCAATAATAAGAAGGCTTAGACAATGTGGTGGTGCACTGCACTGTTTTTCAAGTTTTTGAAGATTTCCAAATGAGATAATATACGACATCTGTCTGGAAAAAGTCCAACCATTATTAATATAATGAGAACAGTTTGCGCGACATTGATGTAACCTGGCAGCCAAGGAGAGTGGACTGGAATGCACATGTGTGAACAATGACGACTTCACTGTACTAGTCAGTGGGGGCAGTAGCGCCGTTGAGTGAGCATGTGTACTGTGGGGCCGTCGCATTCAAAATGACTGAGTAGAGCAACGAATCTGCATCAGATTTTGTGTTAAGCTTCAACATTCCTCCTTGGAACCTATTTGGATGATTCAGAAGGCTGCATCTATGGGCCTTCATCATGACAACACGCCTGCTCATGCATCACGTCTTGTGCAGAGTTTTTTGGCGAGATATCAAATCACCCAGATGACTCAGCCTCCCTACAGCCCAAATTTGGTGCCCTGCGACTTCTGGTTTTCCCAAAATTAAAATCAGCTTTGAAAAGGAAGAGATTTCAGATCGTCGATGAGATTCAGAAAAACATGACGGGGCAGCTGATGGCGACTGGGAGCACTGTTTGAGGTCCCAAGGTGCCTGCTTGGAAGGGGACTGAGGCGTCACTGTCCTATGTACAATGTTTTGTTGTATCTTATCATCTTTAATAAATGTCTCTCTTTCATATTACATGGCTGGATACTTTCTGGACAGACCTCGTGTGTAAAAAACTTAGCACTGGGCCTGGCATATAATAGCTGCTCATTAGCTGTTAATGCTAATAAGGTAGGCTTTCTCTCTTCTTCAAACCTAACACTGCCTCCTCATTACCACACTTCCACCCTCATGGTCTGCCTAACAACCATTTCACCTCCAGCCAGAAAGGTTACTGATGCTAGAGAAGGTAAGAGGAAGTTGTGCTGATGTTCTAGGTTTACCATAATTAAGAGAAAGTCATTTTGATTTTCAAACCTTGGAATTACTGTGCTTATGGCTGAAATTTTGGCTGCCCCATCAAACTTTCCTTTTTTGACCCTGTTGATCATGTGGCCACTTTACACAATCTGAAAAACTCACTAATAGTAAGCAAGATTATATTTTTTATAGGCTAGGTACAAAAGAGTGGAATTTGTCATCTAAGAGCTAAGAATACAATCATGAAAACAAACTCATAAGCTTTCTCAATCTTTTTAAACCACAAGTGGGATTCAAAAATCCAAATTATTTATGGTAGATAACAGTTAAATCTTATATCAAACCTGGAATATGAAGATCTGAATTATTAGAATATACTTACCACACCATTTGTTGTTGTAGTCTTGTAAATAGTGATTTCTGCAGTACATTTTTTTGTTCTTCAATACATTTTTTTTATGTAATGGAAATGCAACCTGACTTTGAGAACTAGCTCTTGCCCAAATTTAAGGTCTACGTATCTTCACAAACTGTCTTAGCAAAATTAGATAGCATTCTGTCTCCCTAAACTTATAATGTTTTTTTCACGTGAAGTTATGAGTTCATCTTTTGTATTTGTGTAGAGAATAGCCTGGTTCTTAGAAGACCTCTTTAAAATAAAAAAGTAATAGAAAGTGTTGTATTGTTATGTGACAAGGTGTGACAGTCTGTGTATAGTTTAAAACATTTCTTAATCTGGTTTATTTTCATTATACTTTACCCTTTAAAAACTTTGATTTTTTAAAAAACTAAAAATAAAAAATAAATAAAGAGATTAAATACATTGTCAGTGAGCCAGAACTGTTCTTTTTTTAATGGTATATTGGTGAATGGGCTTGAGCCAATGCATAAGAGCTTTGCACTGAAAATTTGCCTTCTCTTACAGCCTGCTGATCTTAAGAAGAGAATAGAATCCTTAATTGACCGGGACTACATGGAGAGAGATAAAGAAAATCCAAATCAGTACAACTACATTGCATAAAATTTTGGCCTTGGAGCATTTTCTGTCTCATGCTGTAGCCAGTGGATAAACCTAACTTGTTGATCCTATATTGTTTGACTTCTTTTATACTACCAATGACCAAATGAAGCAGTGTAATGGAAATAGTTGAGTGGACATTTTCAGTGGTTAACATGCCCATTAAAAGAGTAATACTTAAAGAAGAATGTTGTTGAACTCTTTGCATGTTATTTAGTATGATGTGCAGAAAACTCTTAAGAAAGTACTCGGTCTTCATGATTCCTCTTTGGAACTGGGGAAGAGGTCCCTATGGCTATTAAAAACGTGGGATTCTTATACACCGTTAATTATGAAGCAAAGGTTTATTTGCTTAAAATGTCATTTAAAGATACTTAAACTGCATGCAAACTTTATTTACTGTACAGAGTTCTGGATGTATTTATCAGATAGAAAAACCACCCTGGACTTGGCTGTTCACCTGTTTTGTGATTTCCCTTGAAAAGAAAAATAAGTTGTCATAGCTATCAATATTTTACTAAGTAATGTTCTGTTACACTCAAAGGGATGTTTTGAAAAAATTTATTTGGAAACAAGTTTTCAAGTAGAGGGCCAGTTGTTTATGTAGTCTCTTGTATATACACATCCTCAGATGCTCCATTTATGGTTATAGGATGTGTGTATATGACTTAGCCCTGAGTTTACTGTGCTGATTAACAGGTACTTATAAAAATAGCTGAAGTAGAAAATTGCTGATCATTTGTACTAGAAGAACACAATAGGAGAGAAAAATCCAACTCTTTCTTCATATTATAAATGAATACAATGTAAACATTGCAAAGGAGACCAAAACCACATATTTTATAAGTTTTTACACAACTGAAAATTCCATCAACTCATTTTCAACTTCCTTTAGACTTTAATGTTGTTTGAACAGTTTTGTCTTTAACTTGGACCAATTGTAGATTGTTACAGGCTTTTTAGGATTTAGCATTCCTATTTTTTTCTACCCAAGTTCTTTTGGAAGCACCCCAACTCTGTTGGTAAATAAGCCTTTCTTATCATTTTTATTCTAACTTCCTAAAGCCCTACATGTAAAGGTCCTCCCTCATTTTCTCCACACATCCCCCCGTTGGAATTTTGAATTCTATGCCATGTTAATCTTAATTCCTTTCAAAATTGAAGAGTTCTTATAATGGTGTTCAGACATAGAAAATAGCAAAAGTATTGTTCTTCAAGTTGATAATGCAAGTGAAAGGCTTCTCTTTACCACCAGTGGGTTTTTTTGTAGGTTTCTTGTTTGGGATTTTTTTCTTAATTTGTTTTTCCTTAAAACTTTGAAATAAGCTAATCATGAAGGAAAAGCAGAACATTTGGTTTTTTAAAATCAGAACTGCTTTAATGCTTTTTGCACCAATATATTCCCTGACTCTTTGGAGCCACAAGGAAGAATACCTAGGACCTAGCCAGAGACTTGGTTTTTTCTGTCTGCTATTGATGTTTTCTTGAGTTCTCAAAGACCCATAAACAGCTATTTGAACAAAGTTGTCTGTGTCTAATTGCACCAATGTGCACACTGTTGTGTGACAATGCAATATGTGGTATTTCGAATGCCTTCCTAAATTCTTTTGAATAGCCATTACCTATATATTCTCAGCTATTTTGGTTTCCTTATATGAGCTCATCTGACAAGGAAATGCAACTATTTTGTGTGCCTTTCTCCATACTGGGCCATCTACGTCAGTGTTCTAACTCATCCCTGATGGTATCTGAGATATGTAGACCATTCCAGAAGACTTGATAGTGACTCTTAAGGAATTTTTATGTAGAATTGTTCCTGTTAGGAGGAGACTCTTGGCGTCACGTTCATCTTGAGAGCTGGTCCCTTCCCTCAGGCTCTTAATTTTTTGAAAACTTGATGTTAGTTCAGCTGAAAAATTAGTTGCATTAAAAAACAAGTTGAAGGGAGCTGTTTAAGAACTTGAAAGATAATTGCAAACATTGAATAATTGTGACTTTTCAGTTATTCTGTATCAGTTGAATTTTTGTGCTCTTTTCTCTGTGTATGTGGTGGTTCTATTTTTCTCCAATAAAACTTTTATTTAAAAAAGTTTCTAGAGAAGACCTTTAAAATTCAAATGTTGAAGAAAGTTATAAAACCACAGACCTTAAAATCTTCTTCCTAGTGATTTCTTTTACTGGATTCATATTTGTCAATTTTGTTATTTTTAAAATTTGTTTTATTTTTGTGGTGATTTAGTAATAATACCATAGGAATGTAGGAGAGAGGAGAAGGTATGGTAAAGGGTGAGTAAAATTCCCAAGAATCCTCAAGGTGGTTATATGTTCTTAAATTTCATTTTAGAGAAAATCAAATAGAAGTATAAACACTTTCACTCAGATCTTCTAAGTCAAATAGTTACATAAAGTCAATATGAAACTAGTCTAAATGTACATTTAGGAGAGAATAAAAGATTCAATATTTTGGTTTTAGTTATGGCTCTTGATGGGCCTTTTCTGTTATGAATTCTGGGCCATATACTCTCACAGTAATCTTCTCCTCAAGAACTTGACCAAACCAGAAATCAAGAATCCTTTTTGAACCCAGTTCCTGAGTGTGCTGAAATGCCTCAACATGGTGTGTCACCACACTCTTAAAATTATGATCTTGTACCTGTGTGTACAGTTCAGGAAATCAGCTTATTCTATTTTGGTATGTGCGTCTCAAGAATTTTAGAAGTCGTTTGTTTTTTAATTTTAGCATTCATAAGTCTTTTTTTTTTACAGTAGCAGGGTTTTTTGTTTGTTTTAAAGACCATTCTGTTTAAAGCTGTGAATGGCAGGAGTGTTATAAACATGTTCTGTTCTCATCTACATAAGATTGCCAAAACAAATTGCTCATTAAAAAGAAAAGTGCATTACTAATGGGAATTTGGATAATTATGCTTTATATGGTATTCATGCTAGTGCTTCATTAATATTTTTCACATTCCTACAAAATTTTTGCTTTGTATTTGAATGATGAAGAGATTTGTTCACCTGGAAACACTTGGTTCAAATTTAACACTTTGTTCGATTATTTTCCTTGATATTAAAAAGGATAATTCATTTTTGCCCAGATATATGATATACTTTTATATTTAAAAATTCTATGAATTTTTTCTAGCATGGTAAAAATTAAATCTAACCTTTTTTGATGTAGGATATAAAAAGGTGCTACAGAGACACATTTGAACTTAATAGGTTTGCAAACTATGAAAACATCCTCATATCCTCTAATTCTTGTAATAAAATCTTTTTTTAAAGAAAAATTTTAAAAGATTTTATTTATTTATTTTTAGAGAGGGGAGAAGGGAGGGAGAAAGAAAGGGAGAGAAACATCAATGTGTGGTTGCCTCTCACGCCCCCACCTGGGGACCTGGCCCACAACCCAGGCATGTGCTTTGACTGGGGATCCAACCAGCAACCCTTTGGTTCACAGGCTGTTGCTCAATCCACAGAGCCACACCAGCCAGGGCTAATTCTTGTAATAAAACCTTTTAAAACCATTCTTTAATTTAAAACTAACTTTTACTGTAAAATATGCGTAATATAAAATTTACCATTTTAACCATTAAAAAGTACAATGACATTTACTATACTCACCATTTCATGCCACCATCAGCATTCTCTAGTTCCAGAATATTTTCTTCATTCCAAAAGGAAACCTTTTATTCATTAAGTAGTAGCTTCCCATTACCACTCTACCCAGCCTCTGGAAAAAACTAATCATCTTTCTATCTCTATGAGTTTGCCTAATCTGGATATTTTATATCAATGGGACCATACAATATATGACCTTTTGTGTCTGGTTTTGTCTAGCTATTATGATGTTTTCAAGTGTCCTCCATGATGTAGCATGTTTCAGTACTTCATGCCATTTTATGGCTAATAGTATATATACAGCACATTTTGTTCATTCTTCTGTTGTTGATGGACATTTGGGTTGCTTCCTCCTTTTGACAACTGTGAATAGTGCTGTTATGAAGATTTGTATAAAATATCTGTTTAACTCCCTGTTTTCAAGTTTGAAGTATATATCCAGGAGTGGAATTGCTGGGTTATGTGGTAATTCTGTGCTTCACTTATTGAGGAACCACCAAACTTTTCCACAGGAGCTGTAGCATTTTACATTCCCACAAGCAATGTACAAGGGTTTCAACTTTTCCACACCTTCTGTGACACTTGTTATTTTCTGCTTTTCCTATTACAGCTAGCCTAGTGGCTACAAAATAGTACCTGAATTTCATTTCCTTAATAACTAATGATGTTGAGCATTGTTTCCTGTACTTGTCAAACATTTGTACATTGTCTTTGAAGAAGTATCTGTTCAAGTTTTTTGGCTGTTTTTTAAATGGTTGGTTTGTCTTTATGTTGTTGAGTTTTAAGAGTTCTTTATAAATTAGGGGGACTAGACCCTTAGCAGATATAATGGTTTGCTAATGTTTTCTGCTATTCTGTGAATTGTTTTTTTCGCTCACATGATAGTGTCTTTTTGAAATTTATTTTTCAGTTATAGTTGACTTGATAGTGTCTTGAACAAAGCTTTTCATTTTAATGAAGTCCAATTAACCTATTTTCTTTTGTGTCTTATGCTTTTGGTGTCATAGCTAAGAAACCACCACATCTGGATTCATGATAATTTACACCTATATTTTCTTGTAAGAGTTTTTGGTTTTAGTTTTTACATTTAGGTCTTCAATCTCATTTGAGTTAATTTTTGCATATAGTATCAAGTGAGCATCCAAACTGATTCTTTTATATGTATCTATCCAATTGTTCTAGCACCATTTGTTGAAGAGAACATTCTTTCCCCCATTGAATGTTCTTGTCACCCTTGTTGAAATCAATTGACTGTATTTCTGTGGTTTTATGTCTATTCCAAGTCTATGTCTATGTCTATCTCAAGTCTGTTCCATCAATTTATATATGTATTGCTATGTCATTACCACAGTTTTGATTACTACTTACTTTTAGTAAGTTTTGAAAATAGGAAATGTGAGTCTTCCACTTCTTTTTCAAGATTGTCTTTAGCTATTCGGGATCTTTGCTATTCCATATGGATTTCAGGATCAACTTTCATATTTTTGCAAAAAAGAAAAAGGGTATTGGGATTTTTAAAAATCCTCACCCAAGGATATGGTTTAGAGAGAGGAAGGAAAGACAGAAGGTGGGGGGAGGAGAGAGAGAGATATCAGTTGGTTGCCTCCCATACTGCTCTGACTGGGAATCAAACCTCCAACCTTTGTGTCCTGAGTGGGGATTGAACACCAAAAACTTTCGGGTGTATGGGATGACACTCCAATCAACCGAGCCACCCGGCCAGGGCCCATTGGGATTTTAATAGGCATTGCTTTGGGAGTATTACCATTCCAGGCCATGAACACAAAATGTCTTTTAGTTTTTTAAACCATTTGTTTTAACTCTTTAAAAAAGATGCTTCAATAATATTTTGTGCTTTCACTGTACATGCTTTACATTTCTCTGGTTCAGTACATTCCTAAGTATTTTGTTCTTTTGCTGCTGTTGTAAATGGAGTTTTCTTAACTTACTTTTCACATTGTTCATTGCTAATGTATACAATTTTGGTGTGTTAATCTTGGACCCTGCAAGTTAGCTGAACTTGTTTACTAGTTCTAATATGTTATTGTGGACATTTAAGGATTTTCTATACAAAGCACCTGTGTTGTCTATGACAGTGATTTTCAATCAGTGTGCTGTGGCACAACAAGAATATTTAAAATGTGCAATTACTAAGGGAAAAAAGGTTGAAAATCACTGGTCTATGAATAGAGATAGTTTTACTTCTTCCTTTCCAGTGGGATTATGTTTTATTTCTCTGGTTGGAGCTTCTAATGCAGTATTGAATAGAAGTGGCTAAAGCAGGCATCCCTGTCTTGTTCCTCATCTTAGGGGGAAAGCTTTCAGTCTTTTGTGATTGAGTATATTAGCCATAGGTGTTTTGTAAATGCCCTTTATCATGTTGAGGAAGATGCTGTTCTATTAGTAGTTTCTGAGTGTTTCTATCACTAAAGAATGTTGCATTTTGTCAGATGTTTTTTCTGCATCAATTGAGATGATCATGTATTTTTCCCCTTAGTTCTGTTAAATTGGTGTGCAGTAGCCCCACCGTTATTCACAGATTCACGTTCCACAGTTTCGGTTACCCAGAGTCAACCACAGTTTGAAAATGTTAATTGGAAAATTCCAGGAAAAATTCATAATTTTAAATTGTGTACCTTCCTAAGTAGCATGATGAACTCTTGTACCATCCCACTCCCTCCCACCAAGGACATGAATCATCCCTTTGTCTGGTTATCCACCCTATCTACACTATTTGCCTCTCAGTCACTTAATGGCCGTCAATGTTATGAGAACCACTGTCATGATATCATAGTGCTTGTGCTCAATTAACCCTTATTTCACTTAATAAGGGTTAACTTATTACCCCACAGTACAAGACTAGTGATGCTGTTAATTTGGATATGCCAAAGAGAAGCCATAAAGTGCTTCCTTTAAGTGAAAAGTTTTGTTTATAGGAAAAAAACAGTACATACAGGGTTTGATACTCTCTGATTTCAGGCATCCACTGGGGGTCTTAGAACACATTCCGCCATGAGTAAGGGGAAACTACCTTATTACATTGATTGGTTTTCATGTTGAACCAACCTTGCATTCCTCACATAAATCCCATTTGATCATGGTGTGTAACCCTTTTGATATGTTGCTGGCTTTGTTCTACTGGTATTTTGTTGAGGATTTTTACATCTATTTTCATAAGGGATATTGGTATGCAGTATTCTTGTGGTATCTTTGGCTTTGCTATCAGGGTAGTGTTGGTCTCATAGAATGAGTTGCAAAGTATTTGTTCCTCCTCTTTTTTTTGGAAGACTTTGAGAAGCATTGGTGTTAATTCTTCTTTAAATATTTGATAGAATTCACCAGTAAAGCCATCTGTTCCTGGGCTTTATGGGGAAGTTGATGATTATTGGTACAATTTCTTATAGGTCTGTTCAGATTTCCTATTCTTGAATAAGGTTTAGTATTTTGTTTCTAGGAATTTCATCTTTGTTATCTAATTTGTTGGTGTACAAGTTGTCCATCACATTCTTTTATACTCCTTTTCATTTCTTTAAGGTTGATAGTAATGTCCTGCTTTCATTTTGGATTTTAGTAATTTGAGCCTATCCTCTTTTTTTCTTAATCTAGCTAAAGTTTTGTCAGTTTCATTGATCTTTTTTAAATTTATTTTTCAATTACCATTTACTTTCAATATTATTTTGAATTGGTTTCAGGTGTAATACATAGTGGTTAGACAATCATATACTTCACAAAGCCTTCTCCCCCTATATTGCCAGTACCTACCTGGCCCCATACACAGTCCTCACAATATTATTGATTATATTCCCTATGCTGTACTTTACATCCCTGTCACTATTTCAAAACTTCCAATTTGTAACTCTTAATCCTTTCATCTCTTTCACCTAGTACCCCAACCCACCTCCCCTCTGGCAACTGTTAATCTGTTCTCTGTGTCTATGAGTCTGTTTCAATTTTGTTTATTTATTTAGTTCTTTAGATTCTACATATATCTGCATTCCCACCAAAAGTGCACAAGAGTTCCTTTTTCTCTGGGTCCTTGCCAATACTTGCCATTTGTGGATTTATTGAATGATACATTATTGATCTTTTCAAAAAAACAACTTTTGACTTTGTTGCTTTTTCTGTTCTATGTTTCATTTATTTCCATTCTGATATTTATTATTACTTCCTTTTGCTAGCTCTTGGTTTATTTTGCTCTTTTTGTAGTTTCTTAAGGTATAAAGTTAAGTCTATTGATTTGAAATCCTTTCTTTTTTAGTGTAGGCATTTATAGCTATAAATTTTTCTCTGGGCACTGCTTTTGCTGCATTCTATAAGTTTTGGTATGTTGTTTTTATTTTCATCTCAAACTATTGTCTAATCTGCATTGTGACTTTTTTCTTCAGTACATTGGTTAAGAGTTTGTTGTTTAATTTCCACATATTGTGAAATTTTCAGATTTTTTCTGTTAGTGATTTCTATTATGTCCTATTGTGGTTAGAGAAAGTACTATATATGATTTCATTTTTAAAAACTCACTGAGACTTGTTTTGTATCCTAACATATAATTTATCTTGGAGAATGTTTGATGTAGACTTAAGAATAATTTGTATTTTGCAATTTTGT